AAAACACTTATAAACGAATATGAAGTTATTCAAAATAATTACTACTTCAGTACTTACAACCTTTATTTTAGAAACCACTGTTCTAAAAATCCCCGCCTAGCGCCACCTAGGCCCCAGCTAGGCACTAGGCGGTTGGTCACCGTCTCGATTAATGTCTAGACGTTTGAAAATTAAGAAATGGGCCATAAACCTGCTAAGGTGCCCACCTAGCCCACCCAGACCCGCCTAGGCTACGACTCACTTAGACAGAAAATAGATCATTTTCATTTTGCATTTTATTTTTTTCAATAAATTGTAAGAGACTTGTTGAATACTTAAATGAATACACATGTTCCCCATGTTTTCATTATGTTCCAATACTTCCTAATATATATGTCATTCTATTTTGTAGTTTATAATGAAATTATATATATTTTAAGTATAAACATACACTTATTTACACGAAATATAATAGATTTATTTAAATCCGCCTAGTCCGCCTAGCCGCCTAGGCGCTATGCCCCAGCTCGTCGTCCGACTAACTCCTAGCGTCTTTTAGAATCTTGTTAGAAACCAAAGCTTTGATTGAGCTTTAGTTTAAAAACAATACTCTAATTACGTTTTTCTTTGCCACTTAGTACTATGGTCTAGTGATATTCATCTTCAAACGTAAGTGAGAGGTCTTAGGTTCGATTTTCGCAAATTTGAACCACATTATTGTAAGCCTATTATAAGGCTATGACCATCCCCTACCGTAGATATTATCATTGTCACACACACACACACACAAAAAAAAAAACTTTTTTTTTTTTTGGGAACAAAATATATTACCTATTGAGGGTTAAGTTTAGCCTCACAATGCGCTATCAATAATGTGGTTCAAATTTTCTTTTGATGAGAATCGAATATAAGACCTCTCACTTATAAGTAAAAATGAATAATAGTGGACCGTAGTACCAAGTGAAGTGAATATGAATGTGAATGTGATATCCAATCATTTGAATTATATAATTAAATATGCTTAATTATTTAAAATGTGTTTTGTCATGTGTCATGTGACATCCCACATCGCCCAAGGAAGTGATACTTAAATGTATATTCCCATCCCTACCTAGCACGAGGCTTTTTGGGAGCTCACTGGCTTCGAGTTTCATCGGAACTTTGAAGTTAAGCGAGTAGCGCACGAGAGCACTCCCATGATGGGTGACCCACTGGGAAGTTCTCGTGTGAGTTCCCATAAACAAAACAGTGAGGGCGTGGTCGGGGCCCAAAGCGGACAATATCGTGGTACGGTGGACGAGTGGGTCCGGGATGTGGTGGACCTCGGGCCGGGATGTGACAATTTGGTATCAGAGCCTAACCTTGGCCGTGGTGTGCCGACGAGGACGTCGGGCCCCTAAGGGGGGTGGATTGTGACATCCCACATCGCCCAGGGAAGTGATCCTTAAATGTATATTCTCATTCCTACCTAGCACGAGGCATTTTGGGAGCTCACTGGCTTCGGGTTTCATCGGAACTTTGAAGTTAAGCAAGTAGCGCACGAGAGCACTCCCATGATGGGTGACCCACTGAGAAGTTCTCGTGTGAGTTCCCAGAAACAAAACCGTGAGGGCATGGTTGGGGCCCAAAGCGGACAATATCGTGCTACGGTGGTGGAGCGGACCCGGGATGTGGTGGACCCCGGGCCGGGATGTGACATGTCAAGTGATCCAATGTATTTAAAATCTATTGAATGATATAATTAAATGTGCTTAATTATTTAAAATGTGTTTTGTCATGTGTCAAGGCTCAAAGCTCCTTTCAGGATATGATAAATGGGCTGCTTGTATTTGTTGTCTCTGCAACATCATAATTTATCCCACCATAATTTCTTTTTTTAAAACCATAAATTCTGAACCACCAGATGAATGGCATAGTACAGTAACCTGCACTCATTTTTATTAACTAGTTATAGCTTGAGCGCTCAGTACAAAAACATCATTTAATTTTGGGAACTTTAACGAAAAGCACCCGGTACTGTTCACTTTAACGAAAAACCACATTTTTACACTAAAAAGTCAATCCTGGTACTATTCACTTTACCCTTTATTTTGTCCTTATCATTAAAACTCAAAGTTTTCAAGCCCTTTTCATTAGTTTCCTTTTAATTTTAACAGTTAAATATTGCTAGACAAAAAACTAGACAGTAAATTCAGTACAAATAAATATAATTAGACACATTACTCTAGTTATTTGTAACACCTAATTTTTGTTTCAATGGTAGGTTGCTTGGGGAAAAGATTAGGGCCAAAAATATTGGGAAGAAGAGAATCAAGGGTAATTTCTTAATGCCTACTTCTTGTTGATGAGATATTATTTAATTACTTGATTTTATTTTTGTATATAACAATGTAATTAATTTCTGAAAGGTCCCAGAAGTAATATACCAAATATTAGAAGAACCCATCGGCAAGCATGAATTACAAGGAAGATCTGATATTCCTCAGTCCTTAGACGAGTTTATGGTTGAAATAAAGGACGGAAAATTTGACGCAAGGACTTTCGCTGTCAAGCTCAGAGAAATGGTACTTCTGTTCTCAATGTTTTAGTTTTTTGAAAAGTAATTAATAAGACATTTCTCTAATCGGCAATGAAATTCCGATAACGCCAGGGTCTGCCAAATTTCGGCTCCAAATTATGTCTCATGTTTTTGGTGCAAGCGTATTTTGAGTTATAAGACATGGTGCATGTTTTTCAGGTCACACTTCTTGAGCAAAGAACCCGAAATGCCAAAATCCAAGAGTACTTATACCGGCATGTAGCGTCAAGCAGCATACCTAAACAGCTTCACTGCCTAGCCTTGAGGTTAGCCAACGAGCATGCCTCCAACGCGGCTGCACGCCTCCAGCTCCCTTCTGCTGAACTCGTCCCTGCCCTCGTTGACAACTCCTTCTACCACTTTGTCCTCGCCTCAGACAATGTGCTTGCCGCCTCTGTTGTTGCCACATCCCTTGTTCGCAACTCATTGCGCCCTCACAAAGTTGTCCTCCACATTATCACAGACAGGAAGACATATTATCCGATGCAAGCGTGGTTTTCCCTGCATTCGTTATCACCTGCCATAATTGAGGTCAAGGCGCTGCACCATTTCGATTGGTTTACAAAGGGGAAGGTGCCGGTGTTGGAAGCAATGGAGAAAGACCAAAGGGTGAGGTCGCAATTTAGAGGCGGGTCCTCGGCCATTGTGGCAAATAATACCGAGAAGCCTAATGTTATTGCAGCAAAGTTGCAGGCACTTAGTCCCAAGTACAACTCTCTGATGAACCACATCAGAATACATCTACCAGAGGTAGCATGCTTAACAATGGTTTAATAGCGTTTACGACATCTTATAGTGCTTCCATAAGCCTATTTTGCCTAGACAAATTGCTGCATTTTCTCTGCACTTCATGCTAATCTACACTAAATCTCAATGCAGCTGTTTCCTAGTCTTAATAAGATAGTGTTCTTGGACGACGACATAGTCGTTCAAACTGATCTTTCTCCGCTATGGGATATCGAAATGAATGGAAAGGTCAATGGAGCAGTTGAGACATGCAAGGGAGAAGATAACTTTGTGATGTCGAAGCGGTATAAGAGTTATCTGAACTTCTCTCATCCTTTGATATCTAAGAATTTCGACCCCAAGACATGTGCCTGGGCTTATGGCATGAACATCTTCGACCTAGATGCTTGGAGAAAAACCAACATAAGCCTTACATACCAACATTGGCTTGAAGAGGTGAAAGAAGTTTAAACTTTATAACTTTCAAAATTTCCCAAAAAGAATTTATCGAGAAAATGCGTTACGGTCTTCTAAAAATCATCCTATCTTATGATCCTTATCTTTATGCAGAACTTGAAATCAGACCTGAGCCTTTGGCAGCTAGGAACGTTGCCCCCCGGCCTAATAGCATTCCACGGGCATGTCCATGTTATCGATCCATTCTGGCACATGTTGGGACTGGGATATCAGGAAAACACAAGTTCTGCCGATGTTAAGAGTGCCGGTGTCATCCATTTCAACGGGAGAGCAAAGCCCTGGCTAGATATTGCATTTCCAAAACTTCGGCCATTTTGGGCAAAATATGTCAATTTCTCAGATAAATTCATCAAGGGCTGTCGTATCACGGCAACCTAAGTTGGATTTTCAGAGGAATATATCGAAAATGTTGATGATAAGAGTGGATTGTATATGAGGCAAAGGAAAATGAGAGAGAGTTCTTCCCCAATTCACGGCGTTCAATATTTAATGCAAGAAAAAAAACAGCACCGGGCTTCTGATACGCGGAACTCCGCTTCCCGCAGTGCACATTCCTTCACCTATCACTCTGTATTCTTCTTTCCTTTACCCCCTTACACGGCGATTAGAACTTCCGATCATACAGTTTTGTTTACCGACTATATGTTAGAAGTAGTACAAGCAATAAAATACAAGACCACATACTTCATAAGATTCAAATACATGAGACAAAGAGAGGGAAGTTTGTTTCTTTGGACAACAATTAGAAAGAGCACTGAAAGGGTCAGAAATACATTTAACTACGAATTGCTTGTCTACGGTTAATGGAAAGCACGGTGCATTCCCGGTGCCAAGTTAACACGGTGGCTGGGAGGACAGCATCAGGATTCGGGTTTTCCTACCGACTGTTAAATTTATAGAAATCATAACTAGTCCGGCCATTAATGAGTATCGAGACCCTTGAGTGAGGATGGCAGAAAGCGAAACTGCGTAATAAGAGTCTCTCTCCCTTGTACATACTCGAAAAGCAATCATTTTACGAGGACATTTGCCTCTATAGCTTACAATGAAGACAGAGAACATATATAGCAAGATTGAATGATGAATCCATAAACATAAATCCAAATTATTTCCCTTGTAATCAACAAAATACACAACCACGAGCTCAGGACATGTAAAAGTCACACAATTCAACAAACACCTCGTACACATTCAAAAATTATCAATCAGAGAGTATACAAACACAGTCCTGGAAGAAAGCTTACTTGTTTCCAGTCACATTCGACACCAAATCCCTGAAAAACTTGACTGATTTCGTCACGGGCGAATTAATGGCCACCAACTTATTCAAAACATTCTCAACATCTCCGATCGAGGACCGCGATTTAAACGTCGAAACACCTTCAATTCCCCTCCTTCCTCAACAAAAACAGTCCATTTCACTCACCACTCACAACCCCATCTCTCACGCATTTGAAGATCACGACATTCCTTCTGCTCAAAAGCCCCTTCACCTCCAAACCCACGAACGAAAAAATCACCTCAAACGAACTCACAAACCGGCCTAGCTCTCCCTTCTCCGCCTCCTCCTCGAACGCCCACTTGGGGTTGAAGATCACCACCGGCCACGGAACAACAAATTAGTGTCCCTTTTTGTAACCGCCAGTTGGGTTCCCTCTGGCGCCAAAAACACCGCCACGTCAGCAGAATTCAAATTTCCGGTATTATCGTTGGCGATGGAGGAAATGTCTGAATGCTCAACCGGGGTGGAAGGGCAAGCCCCAAAGGCTTTCAATGCGGTTTCTGCGAAGGCGGCGTTTGACCATACGTTCAAGACGTTGACTTTGGAGGATATTCGTTTGATGGGTAGGTCTTGGAAGAGCTGGAGGGCGAGGTGGGAGAGGGATTCCGGGGAGTCATCGGCGAGAGGGATTTCAAGTCGGAATCGGGGTTGTTTGGGCTTCTTGAGCTTCATGGTGAGGCGGAGGTTGTTGAGGGGCTAGGAGAGGGTGGTGGGGAGGCAGGTTTTGGCTTGTTTGATGGCGGATTCTTTGGAGGTTGGAGGGGTGGGGAAGGAGGATAAGGAGGAGCAGAGTGCAGATAAAGTGGTAATTTTGGGTTTTGGAAGAGGGTTGAAGGGATGGAGATGTGAGAGTTTTGGTGGTGTTTGAGAAATGGGAATGGGGGGTTGGTGGGGGGTTTGGAGTTTTGATGGTTTTTGTGTGGATTTTGAGAAGGTTGGAAGCCATTTGAGTGTTTTAACAGAGTAGGGGAAGAAAGCCGAAACAGAAATAGGTAGTTTGCCAGAAGCGCTTCTTGATAAGGTTGCAAAAGCACTTCCACTTTTTGTTACTTTTTAACTTGGGTTTTTTGCCAATCGTTTGTTGGTTCATATTTGTTTAGTTTCTATGACAGCTGTAATATGACTCCTAATTTCGAGTTCTCGGAGAACTTCAATGTAACTAGCCAATGCATCGACGGTGTTTCAAGTCAATCACGCATTGTTATGTGAGAACGTTAAAATACGTAGATGTAACTAGTCAATGCATCGATAGTGTTTCAAGTCAATCACGCATCGTTATGTGAGAAAGTTAAAATACGTAGTAGTGTATAATAGACCTGTGATACCACCACCATGGCATCACCGGTAAAAGTTGCTCTTCATTTGTAGACGAGCAACGCAGCGTCCAGAATTCTGTATTACTGGGGCGCACATTGCGGTGAAGACGTTCCATATAGGTCCGAATCGATAACGTGCATAAGATGATTAACATCTAGAGCATCCTAAAAATTGGGAACGAGAAGTTGCGAGATTAACTTATTAGTTCATACGATTTACATGTAAATACCAGCATACTAATTCATAAACGTAGCCAGGTTTGCAATTGCAGTTGCAAATACAGTCAATTCACCCACCAAATTCAGTTAGTACATAGTTAAACAAAAATACATGAACAATGACACGATAATAATACATTTGTTTGGGACAAAATGTTATCCCAAATCAACACCCCAATCATTTTAGATTAAGCCGGACTTAAGCAACCGGTGGGCGGAGTACATGATCCTGCGAAGTATCCACAGCGGCAGGTGGCATGAATTGCCACATGGCAACCCCAGGGTAACCAATGAAAGGCACCAACTTGTTGCCGTGGGCTTGGCCTTGAGCCGCAAATGCAGCAGGAATTCCAGGAGGGGGAGGCAAAAAGCCAGGCTGCGCATTCATGGATTTCAGTTGCTGTTCCAACTTCTCTTTCTCCGATTTAAGCCTCTGCTTCTCATCGCGAAGTTCATTCTTCTCTGTCTGCACAAGGGAAAACATGTTTTGCACGTTGTCACATCGGCAGTTTTTTTATGTAAGTCCGTATGTCCTGTCAACTTCTACCAGGTAGAATAAAGAGTACAAACCATCTAGAATTTAAGGGTTTTTACACGTGATCCATCCAAATTTTGAATCAAAAGAAACAAAGGGTTTTTACCTTCAATTCCTTGATCTTCTCCTGGAGGCCTGAATTTGTGTCCTTCAACTTCTGGGCTTCACCACGTAATTGATTCACCATTCGTACAGCATCAACCAGAATGGCAGCCTTGTCCGTCTTGGGGGGCCTTCCAGGCTCCAAAATAGAGCCCAATTCCACAAACCTATTATTGGTACATGTCAAGCGATAAGACAAGCCTGCCTCAAACAAGAGGGAGAGAAGAGGAGACCTATAAACGAAAGAGAACAATAGAATGTACTTGTCATTTAGCCTGTCCCTTCGCAACTTCTCCCTACATGCCTTCGAGCTTGTTCCACTGCATGATTCAGATCTGACCCTGCAACGAGAAAAAAGCAACACACAGAGGAAGACAGCTGGAATAAGATGAATTAAAACAAACTTACTAGCTTTTGATCAACTCACTTGTAATACTAACATGTAACTTCTAGGTGGTGATTTTCAAGACAACATGATAATTTGTGAAGATATGACATGAGGTGTTTTAAAACCAAATTGAAAGAAAATAAGAAATTAAATCATCCAGGATTGAAAAACCAAAGATAGATGATGACAGTAAGCATGCATGTTAGTGATTGAAGAGATCATTATAAACTTTAGTTAGTATCCTCAACTAAGGCTGCTGTAGCACAAATTCATGATCTCTTGCACAGCAGCACATGCATTAAAGAAAATAGTCAACTATGATAAGGTATAAAGCACATAAAAGAGAATGAGAATATGCTTTTTAAAGTGGTTACACATGGTGATCTCTTTGATGAGAAAATTCAAAGTTCATACCTCTTTTTTGAGCCAGATTCCTTAAGTCCCTCAGCATCCCCCAATGAGCCATCAAGTTCAACACTACGAAATGCCACAGAATAAAGAAAATAAATGAACAACCATACCACACGACCCAATCTGAAAATGAATAAACAATACAAACCCTTGCATACGACAAAGTAAACATTACACAATATAAAGAAAGATCATGATACAAACATCCAATACATTTCTGAACTCTGTCGCCTCCAACCGACCAAAAATATATAAAATTATGACCAAAGCTTTCTGACCTCATACACATAATAGATGATCACATAATGAATCCACAATATAGACCAAGCCCATGAAGCCTTCTGTAAATAGTCGTTCAAAAAATGGTCCAGCAGTCCTTGTAAAGGCCATTGCTTAAATATAACTGTAAAACCTTTATATGGAAATACATGAATATATGCATAATGTGTACCACTTTTCATCAGGAACCCTCATTGCAAAAACAGACTGTCACCCCGTTAAAGTATAAATCCCACCACCAAAGTCATCTTTTTCTCTCAGTAGAAAATAACCTCAGACCCTCACAACTCCAACCACACTAGTACTCAGCAAATCTCATACACTAAAGTTACAGTTCATGGGAAAAGGTTTTGAGTGATCAAAACAAACTGACATGTTATCGCTCTCGCAGTGGCTTCCACAAAAACTTCAAGTTAGTGGACAAATTCTGTTCGTCCCACAAATGTATTACACTCAAATCCTAGAGCACAAGCAGTTGGTCTGTTAAAGCCATAGATTCCCTAAACTGTTGGAAAAGTCGCTTCTTTGTTCTTAAAAAGCTACTTTTTACTTTTTATTTAGCCAAACACCCTCAAACTGTGATATGTGATAGTATCGGTTAAATTCGATATTTTTTTCCCACCCGCAAAAGAACACAGTACAATTCAAGCCATTCAATCAGTAACCAGCTTGAATCCAAGCCTCTCTCATCACACATTTCCCAGTCCTAAACAGTCCCAATTAACCAAACACTCACAATCACAACGAACGACCCAAAAAACAGATTGGGAATAAGACAAAAGGATCTTAAAATCAGCAAATTCCAACCATTCAATCCCAACCCACGAACCAAAAACCACCCAATTTCGCAGAGGTTATCCAGAAACCCCAAAATCAAAGCAGAAACGAAAACTCAAAAAACCCTAATTTGTCCCAGTCGGATTAATTGCCCAAAAGCAAGAATTAATTAATCAATAGTACAAAATTACAGAAGAAATGGAAGTACCTGACGCTAGCCGAACCGGCGACGGGCTGAACGGGCCAAGTGAAGTTGCCATCCAGAACAGGGGTATCGTCGATGAGCCCGTAATCGAAGAGCCAGTTGGTGTTTTCCGGGGAGACCATGTTTGGACGCTGCCGGAAAAAAAAAATAGGAAGCGGTTTTCCGGTTGGGGACTAGTCAATCCTAGTAACCAAACAGGGGGCGTCAATTCGCCGTCTTGGGGGGTTGGTGGAGGAGGCGGGTTCGTATGGAAAGAGGGGAAGAATCTGTGTGCTGATGGTCACGTGGGGATTTGATGGCACAGCAAAGGTGGTGCGTGGTGTGTGCTGGGTGTGTGTTTCGTCATTGATCCAACTCTACACATCTCACCCACACGCTTTTTGCTGGGTTGCTGGGTATGGACCTAGATAATAAGTCATGGGCTTGGGCTTTATCTCATCACGTTTTTATTTATTTTGTATAAAGTAAAGCCAAGTTTGAAACGCTAGCTAGGGCAGCAAAGTCACATATACAAAGATGAGTGATTTGCTATAGAAGATCCTCTTAAACAAATTCAAATTCTTCCTCGTAGTTTAGTTGAATTTAGTGTAAAATATCGTCGGTATCAAGAAAAATAATATATTATATGGATGAAATATGGTCTGATCTTCGAGTTGATATATTAAACAAAGTAGTTGAACGAGTATTTATCAAATATAGCCAAATATTAGCCCCTAATTTTATAAATGTCAGTTTTTATAAAACCTTTCAAATATATCCAAAATATCACTCAAATAGACACAAATACCCTTAAGCTTTTAAACCTAATAAATTAAAAAATCAAAACCCGATTAGATTAAGAATTCTCACGACAAAACCTAAAAATGGTGGAGACCTAGTGAAGGCATCGACGGTTGGTGGAGACTTGTGCACCCCTAAACGAAGGTGAGCATAGATGATTAATTTCTTGCATTTTTCCTTGTCTACATTTTCTCTTTACTTTTGTAGTTTTTTCCTTTGTATTTAATTTTCCTCTACAACCTGAAGAAAAAAAAAAGAACATGAGTTTTTATGACGATTGTAACACGGTTTACACTCCATTATATATTTATTTTGAGATTAACATTTGAATAGTCATGAAGTTTGTAAACTTCGTGGTTTGCAATACTCTCCTTGGGAGATTTATCGAGTTTTCCTGCAAGGGCCAATAACAAGGTTGTTTTCCCGCAGCCATGGGGACCAAGAAATTCATGTACTGCATTTAGAAAAAATAGGGTTACTTTATGATATAAAAAAATGTTTTTTTTTCTTTTAGTCTGCAATTGTCAATTAATTGTACCAATAATTTGGCCAATATTAAATTAATTTTTTCAATATGTATGTCACTTTCTTCTTTGCTTATTGTTTTGCTTATATTTTAGGAAAATGTCTAGTAATGTGCAATCTAATGAACCCAGCTTTAACCGATTAGATGTTCACAAAGGTAAAAATATTGTACATGAATTAGATATAGCGGACCTATGCAATTCAGATAGAGAGATAGTTATATGTCAATTGTATTAACTACTGTAAATCTAAGAATGTTTGATCAAGAAAGCTGAAAAATGAAGTAAGAAAGAAGAGCTCAGAGAGAGAGAATAGTGCACTCAAAAGATGAATATTCATTCAATGTAATTGTTCAATACAATCAGAAAACTAACATATAAAGGCTACCAACTGACTTAATGACTAGAAAACTTTTATCCAATCTAACCAAATCTTAACAGATCCAATCCAACCAAATCTTATCTAAAATAACCACTTTTCAACAAATCCTAGCTGGCAGATATACCTACAAACTTGCCATGTGTCCTCACTTATCATCCCCCCTCAATCTCAGGTAGGGTAACCAATTCGGAGATTGCAGCAATGTTTGTAAAACGCAGGTCCATGAAGCCCCTTTGTAAAGACATCAGTTGTCTGATCCTCAGTGGGAACATATTGCACCAGTAAATCTTTCTTCTGGACTTTCTCACGAACGAAGTGGAAGTCAGTATCAAGGTACTTAATCCTGGTATGAAATACTGGATTCACACATAAAGCAAGGGCTGAGAGATTATCACAATGGAGAAGTGGGGGATATGACAGAAACTGATGCAAATCTTTCAACATAAGACGTATCCATGCCATATCCGCAGCACAATGAGCCAAGGCTTTATATTCTGCCTCGGTGGAACTTCGAGAAACCGAAGATTGCTTCTTAGACTGCCAGGAAATAGGATTGTTGCCCATATAAACCACAAAACCAGTTATTGATCGTCGAGTATTAGGATCGGTTGCCCAGTCCGAATCGGAAAATGCAGTAATAGACTGATCTGAAGATGCAGAATATGTAAGACCACAATTGATAGTGCCTTGTACATATCGAAGAATGCGTTTGACAAGAGCATAATGAACATCTGTAGGATTGTTCATAAACTGACACGCAGCATTGACAGAATAAGAAAGATCTGGTCGTGTAAACGTTAAATATTGAAGTGCACCCACCAAACTCCTATAAGTAGTTGGATCAATTAAATGAGTACCCTCAGATAACAACAATTGAGTATTTGGCTTGCATGGTGTGGGGGCAGGTTTGCAAGTGTCCATTCCAGCCTTATGAATCAACTCCTGAGCATACTTGGATTGATTAATAAAGATATCACCATTATCTTTATAGGTAAGTTGCAGTCCCAAAAAATATGAAAGTTTTCCCAAATCTTTCAGCTCAAACACATCACCTAACTCCTGAATAACTGCTTGAACTTTGCTGGCATTGGAACCTGTCAAGATTATATCATCAACATAGAGTAGAAGAACTATTACATCATTGTCATCACGTTTGATAAAGAGACTCGTATCCAACTGAGACATGTGAAATCCCATAGCTGGTAAATAACCTGTGAATTTAGCATTCCAGGCACGAGGTGCTTGTTTTAAACCATAGAGAGATTTCACCAATTTACAAACATACTCAGGATGATTAGAGTCCATAAAACCCTGTGGCTGCTTCATATACACTTCTTCCTCCAAATCACCATGTAAGAAGGCATTTTTGATATCAAGTTGTCTTAACTCCCATTTGTATTGAGCAACAAGAGAGATAATCAATCTCACAGTAGTATGACGCACAACCGGACTAAAAGTCTCAAAGTAATCTAAACCGAGTGCTTGACTATAACCTTGAGCTACTAACCGTGCCTTATACCTTGAAATGGATCCATCAGGATTCTTTTTCAGTTTAAAAACCCATTTACTACAAATAACAGACCGATGTGCAGGAGGAGGAACAAGGATCCAAGTGCCTTGACTTTGTAGAGCGTCGAACTCCTCTTGCATTGCATGTTGCCAATGAGCATGAGTTGCAGCAGTTCGAAAAGAGGTAGGTTCTGAAATATCATGTAATGCAGCAACAAAAGAAAAGCCACTATGACAATGATCAGAAGGATCAAGTTTCATAGTGTGTAACTGAGGGAATGTAGCAAGAAAACCAGCATAATTCTTCCGAGAAATAGCATCGGTTTGTAGTCTAGTTTGCATTCTCGAAATTGGAGCAGAATGAGATAAATCATTAGGGAAAGAGTCAAGAGGAAGAATTACCTCCAGTTGTGCAGGATCAAGGACAGGTAAGACTAAAGCTGTGGAGGAAGAGGAGAGAGTTGTTTCAGATGCTGAAGAAGAGCCAGTATGATCAGTATTTGCTGAAGGAGGAGCAGATGTAGCAATATCATTGAAGGAAGACAAATCAGTACTATGATGACTTTCAATACCCTGTGAACCTATAGAGACCGTGGAGATTGATCTTGGCGGAGGAGGAACAGGAACTAGCACGGAAGATTGCAAGGACTGAGAAATAGAAGCTTGATCAGAAGAACCAGTCTGTGTAATAGAAACATTCTTATATGGAAACTGACTTTCATCATGCACAACATGCCTAGAAATAATAAATTTCCTAGTTGGAGGATGAAAGCAAATGACTCCTTTATACCCTGGAGCATATCCCACAAAAACACACAATGAAGCCCTTGGTTGTAACTTGTTGGCAGTATAAGGTCTAATATATGGATATACTGCAGTACCAAACACTTTGAGACCTTGTAACTGAGGATTGATATTATACAACTTCTGATATGGAGATTGTTGTGCTAATACTGAACAGGGCATTCTATTTATTAAGAAGACAGAGTGGGCACATGCATGATACCACATATCTTGAGGTAATTTCGCATCAGTCATAAGAGTAATGGCAGTCTCCACAATATGTCAATGTTTCCTCTCAGCAATGCCATTTTGCTGAGGGGTATATGGACAAGAGAGCATATAATGATGCCTTTTTGTTTTAAGAAATTCGCAAATCTGGTACTAACATATTCACCACCACCATCCGTTTGTAAACATTTGATACCAACATTAAACTGAGCCAAGACAAAACTATAAAACTGTCGAAAGACATCAAAACATTCTGATGTATTGATTAAGGGAAATATCCATACAAATCTGGTAAACTCATCTACAAAACTAACATAATACTTGTAACCGTCTATGGACTTAGTAGGTGATGGTCCCCAAAGATCAGTATGAACTTTTTGAAATGGAAAGGTACAAGTTTCTGTTTTAGCAGAGAAAGGTAACCTAGACATCTTCCCAGAAATACAATGAGGACATAAGTGTTGTTGGTCATCGGGAATACTAACTATATCTGACTGTTTCAACATAGCAGACAGGATTGCATTGCTGGGATGTCCAAATCGTTGATGCCAGATTGCTGTTTTCACTTTCTGTCCAAGTAAAGCCACTGATGTATTGGATGAATGAGTAGAAGAACCAGATAGCAACTAAACTGGTATCCGAAACAACTCTCCCCCATTACTCCTTCCGTGGTAAAGTACAACTTTGGTTACCTTGTCCTGCACAAAGAACTCATGATCATCACAAATGAACCAACTGAAATTATCTTTACAAAGTTGTTGCACTGACATTAAACTCACAGCAATATTTGGCACATGTAAAACAGTTCTTAAAAATAAAGAAGTAGGGAGAGTATTTAATTGAGCAGAACCAATATGTTGAATTGGCAAACCTTCACCATTGCCAATAGTGATTTTATCAGTGCCTTGATAAGGAGTGACTTGTTGAAGTGAATTGACATCAGCGGTCATATGATGGGAAGCACCAATGTCAACTATCCAGGAATCTTGAGGCAAGAATGTAGACGAACCTTGTGCTTGCATAGCAGTTAAAGAAGGTGCAGGTGCCGTGCCTTGATAAGCAAAGTTATTACGATGATGACAATCCAAGGCACTATGACCTCGTTTTCCACA